TTCTGGCTCCTGGTCCCAATCGTCCTGCTTCATTTCTCACTGCACAGATATAAAACCTCCACAGACGACTCATCCTGCCTCTCATTCTTCTCTCCCTTCTCATGAACTGCCGTTAGAAAAAACATCAGTCTTGATTGACACCACACAGACTGTCCTGAAGTCCAGCCGTGTATTTGTCTCCTACTACTGCATTTACTAATACACTATTGTAGTATTATTGTAGTATATTATCAGTATTGACAGTTCATTTTTAGAAACAAAAAAAAGATTTTTTTTAAAATACTTCAAGCCAGGGGTGCTCAACCCATGGTCCGCAGACCGGTCTGTGGGTCATTTGGTACAAGGTCACAGCGGGTCACACTTAAAGAGAGAATATATCCTTTACTTCCTTTGAACAGAATCATTTTTTAAAGATAATCAAATGTTTTCCAGACTCCAATCGGAACGATCTGGAAGTCGTATCAGATCTTTGTCAGAAATGCTGTGTATCGTTACAGAGAGAACTTTAATTTTACAGCCACTTCATGTCGAAATAAAAGTCAGGATTTATGTTCCACATTTATTACCTCAGAAAGTCTGAATCTGCAGACCCTTCAGCTGCTCCTTATAAAACTAATGCACACCCTGTGTGTGTGTGTGTGTGTGTGTGTCCAGGAGCAGCCAGGGCTTCATGCACATGAAGCTGTCGAGGACCAAGGACAACAAGTACATCCTGGGTCAGAACAGCTGCCCCTTTGACAGCGTGCCTGAAATCGTCCACTTCTACTCCAGCCGTAAGCTGCCCATCAAGGGCGCCGAACACATGTCCCTGCTCTACCCTGTAGCCATCAGGACACTATAGTGCCGCTTCCCTCAGCACTCACTGGACCACCGCGTGGCTCATGGGAAGAGGAACGATGATGTCAGAGCCACTGTCTCGTTCTTGTGTGTCTATAATTTTATTTTAAAGTATTCTTTTTTTATTTTATTTTTATTTATGACAGTCACTCTGCTTAACTCCGTCACAGACTGATGAACATTTCACTCTGGACCTAGGGTTTTCCTGGCACTTAGCAGTCAAAGAACATGAGAGGTACAATAATGTGTGGTTTGTCACTGAGATGTACCTTTATCTGTACACGCTCCTTATTTTCCCCTCGCTGCTGAAGCTTTGCTCTCATTGTTGCTCTTCTGTGAGGGTCCTGGAGGTTGTCACACTCCGCTGAAGCAAAGGGACTTTTATGAGGCGTATTAAAGGATATTGTCCACAGGGGCGCTGTTCACCGGCCGGGATATTGAATAAACTCGCCGCGTTCGAACGCCGCGCTGCAGAGAAACAACAGTCCTGCGGGTGGCGCAGATTGATCTCTCTATCTTGTCATAGTGCATGCTGGGTGTCTATCCATCACTGGGGGGTGTATCACATGAGTGACAGTGTAAGTACCCTGGTGGTGAGACAGGCAGGAGAACATGATGGATGGGTCCTCTCATCCGACACAATACGACCGGTCCGGGCAAAGAGACCAGAGCCTGTCCACAATGACCAAATT